CATTTCCCAGGGAAGCCCGTGTGGGCAGATCTATCTCCAAATCCTGTCTGAACCAAGGTGACCTTTAGCTTCAAGGCCTGGGTCCAGCCCTGCAGCTCAGAAGGCCCCGAAGGTCAAGGTCACCACCCAAGGCGGCTGCAATCTGGCTAGAAAGCGTTCAGAGTCCAGTGCAGGGCTTCCCTGAAAGGACAGCTAAGTCCCTGAAGCAGAAAGGAGAGGGGACAGGGCAGAGGGGGCTGTGCTGAACTGCTGGTGGGGGGAAGAGGGGTGAGCAGGCCTCCTCAGGTGCCGCCTGTGGGTCTCCATTGCGCAGTGCTGTGTCCACCCAAAGCAGCAGCCGTAGGCAGACCTGATGGAAGACCAGGCTTCCAGTGGTTTCCAGAACCTGAATGCAGGGCCCAGAAGGACCCTGGCTGCACCCTGAAGTTCTCGGAGTGCCGGGGAGGTAGAAGCACTTGGTTAACGAGGGGTCCCAGCCAAACGTCCCGGCGCCTAGACGGCATGGTCAGGCTCTCTCACAAGAAAGGCGTCCCTGGTCTAGGACTGAGAGACTCGTAGGATCACGCTGGAGTTGGTCACACGGGCTCCATAGTGGCCAGCCCAGAACTGCGTGTCCTGCCCCCAGTGTTCAAAAGACACGAAACGGACGCCTGTCTTGATGTTGGAGAACACATGGGTGACCTGTAGACAGAGGAAGGGGTTGGTACTGTTATGTGATGGCTGAGATGGGGGGCAGAACCTTCTGGAAGGTGGTATTTTCCAAAGATGGCAGCAACATCATCTACCCTCCTACAGGTTCTTCTAGAATCTCGCTACTCCTTCATTAATTAGTGGAATCCAATCCCCTTCTCCTGGGATTTGGGTGGGTTTGCTTAGAACCAAGAATTTGGTAGAAGTGATGCTGAGTAGATTTGGCCAAGTGACTTCCCAGGCTAAGTCAGAAAAGGTGACAGACTCACTTTTCTTGCACCTCACCCCTGAGCCACCATGGAAGCAGCCTGAGTGCCCTGAGGCCGCCATACTGTGAGGAAGCCCAAAGCAGTCCAAGCCCAGAGACCCCAGGGAAGCTCCGGGAATCAATGAAAAAAGAGATTCTTGGCAGGTCACCAGTTGCCACCCACACACATCACCTGCCACCCTGCCCTTCAGCTCCAGGCCTCGTCTGCAGGCCACTGTCTGAGCATGAGGGCCTGGAGCCAGCACGGCCCACCTCAGCATTTCTCCAACTACTGACTCAGGAGATGTGAGAGGCAACAAAAGGACTGCTGTTGATTTTAAGTCACTAAGTTTTGGGGTGATTTGTTACACAGCAATAAGTAACCAGTATGGACCCCACCATCCTTTCCCTACCCCGTCAGACTCACCTGAAAACAGATATTGTTGTTCCACTGCTCGATGGGGTCAGGCACAGCAGAGAAGGTATCTAGAATGGTCTGGTCAGCGTCTAGAAGTTGGACAAGGAGTCGATACTTACAGCCACAGTCGTGTCTGGCTCCCCACCTGTGGAAGGAGAGAGCCCTTGAAGGCTGGACTTGCCCCTCCATCTCTCTGGGTGTCTGCCTGCTACCTGAAGGCCTTCCCCAAATATACAAATCCAGCTCCTCAATGTTCTTCTGAGCGACCTCTGGACCCCTGGAGCGCTGTGTCTGAGAGGTGTCTTTATTTGATGGAGACTTGAGGATACTAGTGTCATAGGGCAGGGGCTGGTCATGCCTATATAGGTCACTCCAGAGTGGGAGCTGGTCACTCCAGAAAGACCAACAATGAGGCTTTGGTAGCTTTGAGTCAATGTCAATTGATCTGAAGGCTGAGATTAACCACACAGTCAGGCGGTGAATCGACAATGCCTATCAGATGAAGTCCCAATAAAAACTCTGTAAATGAAACTCAGTAAGCCTCCTGAGTTTCGCCATGAAACTCACGGTGAGAGTCCACGAGTCTTGTCATACATCAGTGC